GTTCCTACGTTTCCTACTCCTCCCACTCCCTCCCTCCCACTCCTCCCTCCCTCCCTCCCGCCCCGTCGCTCGAGGCGAAAGCCTTCATCCTTCCTCCCTCGCTCCCTCGCTTTTTGCTTCTTTGGCGCGTTGATGAAAATATTTGGGGCCATTCGCCTCCTGCCTTTTGCGTAATCCTCCTTGGCGTTCTGCAGAACGTTCTTTGGGCATCGCTGTACACCTACCAAAAGAAGTGTTTCGGGGAAATCCGGATAACCTTCTTATTGACAATGACATCAGCTCGATCGGAGTGGTCAGGGGGGTGGCCGCGCGTGGACTAACACGACAATGTACATGATCCGGGCTCTTTCGTGACGTCGTTGTCTGTTGGAAGCGGGGCCCAAGACAGATGAGAATACTGACAAGCGGAGGTTTCGTCCGATGCATGTTTCCGTGCAACCCCCTCTTGCATTTTCAAGACTGAGTCACCCATCATGCCTCTGTTTACATTCGACAGGGTTTGAGGGGGACAGGATAGTGCGCATCGTCAAAGTGTGTCCATCGGTTTTTGGTGTTCACACCTCCCGAGCGCCTAGTTGACGGGACTTCTTTGTGGGGGAAAAGGCAATTTGCATTCCAGTCATTTCCTTGGTCGCAGGCGTCCTTTTCGGACAGTCGCATCCTCTACCTGGAGAAGACTCAAGTCCCCTGGGGCCATTTGATTAGGAGCAGCCATGGGGATTGACCTTCATCTTCCCTTGCCCGACCTGCCTCCCAACATGGCATGGGGGGGCATGCTGGAAGCCTATTTCGTCAATGCCGAGGCCCTGGCGGAGCTGGCGGCCGCAGCCCGGAGTGCCGGTGTGTCCAAACAAACAGTTGTGGAGGTGGTCGCCCTCCTGGTGGTGTCCGCCATCACCTACTATCGAATGTACCATCAACTCCCCTACCCTCCCGATCCAGCCCGGGAGCCTCGACTCCGACCATGCCCTCTGCAAACCGAGGCGACGGAGGACGAGCATGTGGTCCCACAGGGCTTTTCCCACGAGGGGCAGCCGGCCTCGGAACCGACGGCCTCCCTGCCTGCGATCCTCAACCACCTCTACGCCACGCTGGCCGCCGCGCGTCTCCACGCCCCGCCCACTCTGCCTCTTCCCTCCCTGCCCTCCCTGGCGATGGACCCACTGACATCCTTCCCCGCCAAGCTGCTGGCGGAAATGCAAGAGAAATTGGCGGCCGTGGTGAAGGAGGGGGAGGAAGCGGAATGGGCCTGGTTGTGCCTTTTGTTGCAACGCGTCTTGCACAAGGAGGACGGGACGGACGGGGACAGGGAGACGGGTCAGACCAGCCTGGCTACCCGGATGTTGAGTGCGGCCATGGCTCAATGCCGTCCCTTTCGGTGGCCGGGGGAGGGGCCGGGGCAGGGTCTGGGGGAGGGAGGGAGGGAGGAAGGGAGGGAGAGGGTGGAGGGAAAGCCCGCGCAGTCCATGTTTGGTTGGCCGATAGCCGACACGACTACGCATGACGATGTGTGTGATATCGATACAGAAGAAGCCGAGGCTGCCGCAGAAGCCGCAGCAGCAGCTGCGGCCGCCTTGGCGGCCGCCAGCAAGGCCGTACCGCCCCCTCATTTTCTCTCTACGGGCCTGCCCGACGAGGTTCAATTGGAAATTGTCGAGTACTTGCAACCTCGGGACGTGCTGCGATTGACGCCCGTCTCCCGGGCAGCCCGGAGGCTGGGGGAAGGGGAACAGGTGTGGCGCACCAAGTGGGCGGCGCGTTTCGGGCCCATCTGGCGGTCGACGCCCGTGCAAAAGGCGGAGATGGCACGGAAAGCACGGAGGGCAGACGGTCAACGGGCCTCGGCTACCGACGGGGAAATGGAAGGAGGGTGTGGCCAGTGTGGGCGGGGGGTGGGGGGAAGAAGGGAGGGGGGGAGGGAGGGAGGGAGGGAGGGAGGGAAGGGCCAGCTGGCCACCCTGTTTGCCTCGATGGGTCCCGGTGGCGAAAGGAAGGAAAAGGGAAGAGGGAGTGCGTGGGCCAGGGATGCGGGTGGGCCCTCCTTCCCTGTCTCTTTCCCGCCCTCCCTGCCGCCCTCGGCTGGCAGCTGGCGGCATTTCTACTCCGTCTTCGAGCTGGAGTGGGCTGCTTGGCTGTGCGCGGGCCGGAACAGGGAGGAGTCGTGTTGGGTGGGACTTGAAGGGGGGGTCTATGACCTGACCGCCTTCCTGGAGATACACCCGGGTAGCAAGGAGACGATTTTAGTGAACGCGGGGGGAGACGCCACCGCCTTCTTTCAGGACGTGGGCCACAGTGCTCAGGTAGGGCGGGAGGGAGGGCGGGGACGAAGACGGGAGGGAGGAAGGCCTTTCATCCTTGTCTTGGTACGTCAAGCTGGGGCAACTTTTTCACCCTCTCTTCTTCATTTCCTTTCCCCTTTCCTCCCTCCCTCCCCGGTCCAGGCACGGGCCATGATGGCGGACTTCTGCATCGTCCCTCCCCCTCCACAGGGGGTAGGGCATACCGAGGCCTGCGTGCTCCATTCCGTCAAAGAAGCCTTGCGTGAGGGTCGTGCGGGCATTGAGGGAAGGAAGGAGGGAGGGAAGGGAGGAGGACGCGCGTTGATGGGCCGTGGGGGGGCCGCAGGCGCGGTGTCCACGTTGGCGGCCCATTTGTCGGAACAAGCGGCGATGATGATGCGGAGGGGGGGGGGCGCGGCGGTGGTGGAGGTTGGAGGGGGGGGAAGGGTGGAGGAAGTCGGGCAGGTCCATCGGGATGGCCTTCTTCACCACGTGAGTGAGTGGCTCTTGCCCCCTGTCGTGCCCGGGGGGGGGGGGATGAAGGTAGGGGGAGGAGGGGAGGAGGTCGATGCTCCGGGAGCCCAGATTGGGACCAAGGGAGGGAAGAACGTTCTGTTCGGGCTCAGGAAAATTCTCCCGCTGGGAAAGTGCCAAGCCTGCGGGGGCCACGAAGCCTTCCTGCCGGGGGCGAAGGAGAAGAGTGGGAGGGAGGGGGCAAGGGTGGGAGGGAATGAGGTTGGGTGTGGACAGGACGGGGGGCATACCGGGACGAAGAGGGCGGTGTATGATGTGTTTGGAGGAGGTTGGCTGTCGTGGTGGACGTGCTGTGGGGCAGTTAAGGTAGAAGACGGGGAGAAAGGGTTGTAGAAGGGTGGGGAAGGAGAATATGAATGTGTGGAAATTTTTCTGAGGGAAGGGGAGGAGGGAAAGCGCCTGGTGTAAAGGAGCGTAAATAATTGTAAAGGGAAGACACGGAAGATTTCCTGAGAAAGAGATGGATGGGACGGGGAGGGCGAGGGTGGTAAGGATGGAGAGGGAGGGAGGGAAGGAGGGAAAGCGGCCGGGCACGTGGAGAGGAGCAAGGGGTTTGGCTATGCTCTCCCCGCCATCACACGGGGGCTCCGGACCTTCGGGAGATCTGTGGCGGGCGTGGCAAGGGCATACATAGAGCTGCTTGGAGCGTGGGGAAGGCAACAGTCCAGGTGGCCAGTCGCGTCGCTTTCTGTGGGGAGCGGGCGCGCTGTTGTGGACCCCGCACTGTGGAATTAAATGCTAGTGGAACCAGCCGAACGTGTACAGAGTACGTGGGAATCGATGCACTGAGATAATAAAGAGGCACCTTTCGGGGATTGAGCCAGCAGCCTCGTCAGTCGCGTGACAGTCACATCTGTCCATGTTTTCGAATCCACTCTTGGGCAAAAAGAAGTGATATAGATGCGTAGTGGACTGCCTCCCTAGCGCGGAGACCCTTGGCTTGCCAGCTCTCACAATAAATATATGTGAGGCCTCTGGGGGCACGGCCATGGGAAGGCAGCATCGAAATTGTCCAGAGCGAATGTAACGTTACGACCGTTACACTTTCAAGAAGGTAAAAGCGTTGCAATTTGAAGTTACAAACGTCATAATTACAAGTCGTTGAGTGCAAGTTTGGAAACAAAAAGAGATCTTTAGCGGGGCGCACGGACGAAGGAAAGGAAGGGGAAGAAGTGCAATAAAGAGTGACTGAGGTGTCGAAAAAGTATTGGATGGACAGCTCCCACAGGAGTGTCAGACAGCACGATTGATTTATTCCAGGGGAGAGGCAAGAGGGTTTTACACTGAGTGCAAGTTTGGAAACAAAAAGAGATCTTTAGCGGGGCGCACGGACGAAGGAAAGGAAGGGGAAGAAGTGCAATAAAGAGTGACTGAGGTGTCGAAAAAGTATTGGATGGACAGCTCCCACAGTAGTGTCAGACAGCACGATTGATTTATTCCAGGGGAGAGGCAAGAGGGTTTTATACTGCCTCGCACCACCAGACCAACGAGGGTGTCGCAGGCGGAGACGGACGCTTGTGAGTTGCTTGTTTATAGAAAATAAGATTACCGCAACCGTGTGCTTTCCTGGCCTTATTTGCTTCCCCCCCTCTCAACAACTCGTGGTGTTTTCTCACCCTCTCCCTCCTCCCCTCCCTCCCGCCAACAGCCTCCTCTTCCGTTCCTCGTTGCGCAGTAAGAGACGTGTCGATTCACCACTCCCTTCCTCCTCCCCCTTCCTCCCCCCCCTCCCTCCCTCCCTTCCTCCCCCCCTCCGCACATGAGCATGCACAGCATCACCAACACCAAACCCCCGCCCCCGGTCATGAGGATTTTCCCCACAAAAGTCTCGAACATCAGCGCCCCTGTGATGAGCAACCCCACGGCCAAGGCCCCGAAAAGCAAAAGGGTGAAGGAATAAGCGAACTTTCCTAAGCGGAACTGCTCGTGATCTTCCTCCTCCTCCTCGTCGTCGGGCGGAGCCCCCCCGGTGCCCTCTCTTCCTCCCTCCTTCCCTTCCCCCGTTCCTCCTCCCCTCCCTCTTTCCAGGTCGCTCGAATGCAGTAGGCGATGGTGAGGCGGAGCAATGGTAGAAGGGGAGGAAGGAGGGTGGGACGGAGGCCGGTAGGGACTTCCAGTGCCGGCGGGCAGGCGCCGGGGGGTTGGAGACACGGGGGAAGAATGAGGAGAGTGGCGGTCCGAGTCGGAGGAAAGCCCTTGAAAATGGCCATGGGAGGGAGTCCTGGCCCCCCTTTTTTGGTTAACTGGGCTGCTGTCAACGCTGGGTGTGTCGTAGGGCAGGAAGGTGCCGGACGTGGGGGGGACGGTGGTGGCGGTGGCGGTTGCAGGCATGAAAGGAGGACGTATATAGAGGCAATGGATGCGGGAAGAAGGACGGTTGATATGCCGTTGACGCTAATGTCACGCTGCTCTTGCCTTTCCAAGACTCGTGTCCCGCTGCTTTTTTAAGGCTATGCCATGAAGGGTCCTCGATGGGGCATCTAGGCTAGGAAGTAAAGGCGCGCATGCAAAAAGAGCACGAAAAGTTATTGTCCCCCGTCGTAGCGTGTGGAATGTCGAAATGCTTCTCGTAAATGGCGCGCACTGGGCCGAGTCCCACGACTGAAGTGTTTCGGAAGACAAACAGAAAGCAAAAGGACGTTGCTGTTTGATGTCTGTCCGTATGTACGAGCGCATGCAGGTGAGATTTTCGATACCGTGTCACGTCACAAGATTAAACAGCGACTGTCTGATCTCACGATCTCTGAGCCCCGAAACATGAAACAAAAAAAATGCATCCCATCACATTTCTCCATGCCGCCATTTTTGAGACACGAGCAAAGTAAAAGCATCAGGGATCAGGGGTCTCCCCTCGTCTTGTTGATTTTATCGCTAGAGAGGCCAAGACTGGCTTTCGCTGGTGCATTTCGGGACTGAGAGTTGCAGCCTGTAGGATATCTTAATGCCTTGGGCGAGAGCGGGCCGATGGAACTACCGGGGGGAGGGATGGATTGAGATGCGGCATTGATGTATGGGCTTTCCTTCATGCCAATGTGCGTCTCGATCTGGGTGGGTGGGAGCATCGGGGGTTATATTGGTGGCACGTGTTGTTTTGGGTAGGCCGCAGTATTGTCGTGATCGGTGGGGGCAGGGCAATCCACGCGCGGGTTTGGACAAGCTCACTTTTAAAAAAAATCCTGAGTGCAATGAAAGTGTGTTGTTCAACATTGCTGCACTTGTGGCTCATGTAGAATATATGTATGCCCTCAGTTGGATAGAATGGGGCCCTTTGTTAATCTGTGGAGACGCGCCTTGTGAGTTGGTGAAGAATCCGTCGAGTCGCCACCCCTCACGTGTTTCCTTTATTTAATCATTGACCAACAGCCATCAAAGCATCATGATGTCCTCCAAGGCCTTTGCCAGCAGCTTGCTGATCTTAAGCTTCCTTTTTGCAAGCACTTGGGCATTCGTGCCTCGTCAGCTTAGTAAGTAACTCGAGTGGGAGTTCCCCATCATCCCAGTGGATGGAGCTGCAAGTAGATGCCATCACCAAACAAGCATGAAATATCGCACGGACCGAATACATGTCCACATAATGTTCATTAAATGGAAGTGACAAGGCTGTAACGAAAACGACCCAAGGTCCTCAACAAATCCTTTTTCCCCTTCTCCATTTTCTTTCCCACAGCCCGTACACCCCTGCAGCAGCGTGGCCAAGGCCGCCTGCATATGGCCTTGCCCGGCAACGCTATGGGTACGTCGCGTCGAAAGTTGCAAAGAAGATCGTGTCTTCCTCCTCGGACCAGGGCTGGGAAAGGGAGATGAAAGAAATACCAAAGGGGCAGGGGCCCCGTGGAGGTTGCGTGACGTGACGAAGGACAGAGCGGCCTTCGGTGCCTCGCTTGTCCTGTTCACAGATAACCTCACCTACTCCACCCTGCATATTTCTCGCCCTCCTGCCTCCTTCTTGACAGCCTCCTTGGGCCTCCTTTTGACTGCGTCCACGGGCCTCTACGCGCCTTCCTCCCCTCCCCCTTCCTTCCACAACCAAGCCTTCACCAGCACCACCCTCTCGAAGGAAGTCGAGAGCCGCCAGGGCATGTACAAAGAGTACACGGTCGAGAAAACGGGGCAACAGGTGGGGCAGGGAGGGACAGAGGGAGCAAAAGAGGGATGGGCGTGGAGGGAGACTGGCTATCAAGCGGCGTTATCCGAGTCGTGCTTATAACCATGCATGTGCAGTACGAAAACGCAGAGGGGACCTTCAAGACGAAAGATGAGACGGCAGGGAACAAGAATAAATACGTGGCTATCTTGGCAGTCCTCCTGGTGGTAAGTGCGGAGATATCTCTCTTTGTCGGATGGGAAGAAAGAGGACTTCCGGGGAGAATGTGCTCGTTTGAAAGCTTCGCCGTAACACGGAGCTCTTCGTGCGAGGCGTGACACGACCGCGTCAAGGAATCATCTGCCCCTCCAACACTTTTAACCGATCTCTTTCTGTAGGGAAGCTGCGTCATTCCCATGGCCCAATATTTCTGGTATGTCAAGGACGATTAAGTCTTCCATCCTGAGTCCTCATCCCTGGACGGAGTGGGTCGAAATTGCATCATCGACGAGGCGATGGCGTCAGCTTCATCCGCGGAAACAATCTCTCCCAATTTTTCCTTCGTCGCCTTTGTTGATGGATACACGTCCGTACTCATCAGTAGTGATCCCTCCAGTGCGATTGGGCATGGGGCATGATGGAAAAAGAAGGCTTGAAGTAACGCCCTTCAGGGTGCCGATTGGATGGGGAAAGAATTTTTCGAATAAAACACAAAAAGTTGAAAATAGACGAGGCAAAAGATGTGCTGTACTTCCTAGAAATGATGAGAGATTGTAGGAAGATGTTATGTTTTACTTCCTTTCTAGGATAGGAAATGCCCAATATCCTTTCGAAGGACGTTTCTTTAAAATGAGCCATCCACAATTATCATCACAGTATTTTTCTGAGCGTTTTATACGTTTACATACGTTTACACTCAATGCCTCAAGCACGTGTGTCACGGTAGGGCTTCAGGTTTGAAAAAGGCTTGTTATGTTCCCATGATTAACCTCCTACCTTCAAGTTGTAGCACAAACAAGCTTTCGATAGGCTGCACTCCTTGTTGCTGATGCTACCCATTATGCCCTACTATCGGTGCTTATTCATGCCGCGTATGCGTTTGTACACGGATTTGTACGCGCCTTGGTGGTTGATGCATGTCTCGCGGAGGTACCGTCTTTGTCGCGAGGGATTGGTCAGGCTATGGCCGCTCCCGTGCTTTTCTGACAGCAACCGTCATTCGAGCAAGAATTAAGAATTTGTCCGAAACAGCCTCATCCAAAAGAAATGTGCTTACAACTCGTCCGCGTTTTCTCAACAAGGTGTGTACATGGCCCTCATGGAAACTCCGGATCATTCGATGAGTTCGAATGAAGCGCTTTCCTCCGTAGACAGCACCTTGAAGCGTCTCCAAAACCTAAAAAATGTACAACAAGTCCTTGTATTGACCAAGGATGGCGTCGCCCTGCACTCAAGCGTCGATCAGGTAGGTCGCTGTTAATTTAATCCCCCTCAGATCCCTCAATGCTTTCAGCCACGCGATGCTTGAAGCCTGTCTCGGACGTGGTGCCTCGTCTCCCCGCATTCATGTGCGCTTGATCTCTTCTATACCTTTCATGGTTCCTTGCGACAGGATGCTCACAAAAGTGCTGGTTCCAGTCGTTTTCTTATTTTTTGGTGCTGCTAATCATTCTACTTTCCAAGTTATGTTTGTCAGCTCATTTTTCACATCCTGCGTGCTCCGTTTCCTGTACTGCACTCATGATTCACAGAAGAAAACGGCGCATCAAGCTTCATTGATAGCATGCCTCTGCGATCAAGCAAGTGCGCTGATGAAATCCTTCGATGACAGCGGGAAAGGCGGTGTCGATGCGGATGAATGCCCACGGCTTCTACGCTTCTGCAGCCAGAGGCAGGAAATTATGATCACACCGGGGAAGGACTTCTCCTTGGTTGTGCTCCGGAAGTTGAATGGATGAACTGCAGACGTTGCATGCCTGTCGAGGGATCGGCTTGTCCCGCCCGAGGGGGCGGGGGGGCGATGGGGTGTGAAGCAGGGATGGAGGGAGGAGGTTGTCCAGTGTAGGCGGCAGGTAGAAGTAATGAAAAGAGGGGAAATAGCGCCCTATCATGGACTAAGAAAATGCGCGTTGTCGACCTGGACCAGAGCCGGACAAAGAAGAATCCGAACGACGGGGGAGGGGGGGAGCAGGACAAGGGCGAGTGGAATTAGAGCGTGAGACGCGAACGGTGACAGCCAGGCGTCCCCAGGGGAACGTTGTGTGCTGTACCTATGATATTTCACGGAAACGGGTCAGCAAAATTCCACAGGCCGGAAGTCTGTCAGCCGCGGGGGCAGGATAAATCAAGCATGTACAGCATTTTTTTTAAAAACAGGGAAAGAATGACCGAAAAAGCTCGCACTGTCGCGGAAAAGAACCTCGTTCCCACCTTTCTGGCGCCTGGCGCGGCAAACGTATGCCCGTGTATCGTTCCCCTTCTCCTCTTTGCGTCACACCGTCTGTTCCTCTTGACCCCCCCCGTCCCCCTCTGCCCGCCCTACAAAGTCCCCCCATTCCTCCTCCGGGACCTCCACCGGGACCTGCGTGGCCGGCACGGAGAGATCCGTCGGCCTGCGCGGCATGGCTTTCGGTGGCAATGGTAGGAGGGACGGGGGACGCACGCTTTCCCCTGGATAAAGCTCGGACGAGCCCGCCCGGTGTTTCCGTCTCCCAACCTCTTTCCTCTCTCCTTCCCCTTCTTTTTTTTCCAGGGCATGCACCAAATTCAATTTGAGAGTCTCCCCTTCTTTTAAACTCAAATCTTGGAAAACCGGTAGAAAAGATCCGTTCGCCCCGTCTTTCCCTTCCTTGCCGTCCTCCGTTCCCATCACATCCCCTGTCTCCTCCCTTCCACTTCCATCATCCGGCCTCCCCGCCCGTGAGTCTAGTGCCTGGGTCCTCCGTCTCGCCAGCTCCGCCCTGGCATTGTACGTGACCAAGTCCTCCAGAAGCGCCTTGAGATCAAATGCATCGCTCCGCTCCCGGAATCCGATTGCGATGAAGGCGTGCCGCCGCCGGTCCACAGCTTTGACGACGAAATACCTGGAGGAGTCCACGACGGGAATGAAAAAGCTGCCCAATGGGTCCTTCTTCCCCGGCAACACATGGATGGGGCATTCTGCGAACAGGGTGTGGTCGGGCTGGAAGATCCGGAGGAACAGGTCCGTGTCACCCCGCTGGAATGCTTTGAGGTAGCCAGTCAACAATGGGTTGGGAAGGTTCAGGTCCTCCGCCCTATACCCTGTGGAGGAAACCAGGCGAGGCACGGCGTACACAAAGACTTCGCGAAGATGCAGGCGCAATTGCTCGACAGGAGGAGCGGTATCGTCGGTGATGGAGGGAGGGGAGGAAGCGCGGGAGGGTGGGGAGGTCGCGTTGGGTGGCAGGGTAGGACCGAGAGGAGAGGAAGACAGGGAGTCAGCAGCGTCGCTCATGGTGTGTCTCTGTCTTGAGTGGGTAGAATATAAGCTTTCGAACTGGTTGAGGGCTAATGGATCGGAGGAAAAGCGGAAAAGATGGGAAACACCCCACCGGGCTTGGCACAACAAAAGAGCTAGGAGGGGTTATGTCGCAGTCTGACAAAAACAGGGGTCACATCATGAAAAATCCCCCATCTCGCCTGCTGTTACACAGTTTCAAATGTTGCCATAGAGGCAGTACGAGCACATCCTCCTAAACCAGGACGGGTCACTGCCCTGAATGAGTTTGTCCTGAAAAATCCCACAGAGGTCCTGAGGTCAACAGGGTGGGGAGGTTAAAGGTTCTCTCCACTCTTTAATATGTGGTCCTCGAGTGGAAGATGGGCTTTCAAAACAGTTGTGAAGATGACTCCAGGAGATTTTATAGTGTATACATGTCACCTACTGAAGCGAATGCCTTCACCAAGAAAAGGGGAAAAACGAGCGAGACTCGCTTCCTGTGTTCGCTTTCACATCACCTGCGGCGATGCCCCCAACCTGTTGATGGCTACACATCGGTATGGTTTGAACATGACATACAAAACAATGACAAACGATCTTTGTAGATGATTCAAAGAGATGATGGTCAGGTGGTGCGGCACATTTCCCGCGTCATGCCTGCTTCATGGCAAAGATCTCCGCCATCTCGTATCCACCTCCCCATCTCCTCCCCCATCGTACAGGGGGGCCACCACGCATGGAGAACCTGTTCATTCTCGGGGATGAGCGTCGTCGCTACCCGTATGAACGTCCCTCCGATAACCGCCTGTCTCCAGCGGGAGCGACCGTGGGGTTTGCCTTGGACCGGGTCCGTCTCCTGGGGTACCTCCTCCTTCCCTCTGGATCCCTCCTCGCCTGTCCTTACGCCTCCCTGGCCGGGGACGAAAGCCGTCTCTCCTGGTCCATGTCCCTCAGCTGCATAGAGCATTCTTCGGAGGATCCCGTGAACGAAGCCAGGGTATGGCTGGAGGCGTTTTATTTGCCAGAACCTGACGTGGTGTTGTGCGTGGCGGACACGGGGGCAATGCTCACGGTGGAATGCGAGACTCGGCACGTCTCCCTCTTGGGGATGATAGATGCGGGCATCTTGGCCGCCAGCTACAGTCCGGACGAGGAATTGCTCGTCTTTGTGACGGGACGGCAGACGCTGCTTTGCCTTTCCCCGGTCGATTTGAACGTGTTGGAGGAAACCCCCTTGGCGGCGCCGCTGTTGGGTCCTCGAGATAGGGGGCCCTGGTCGCGCCCCCTCTTGAGCTGGCGCGGGGATGGCCAGTACTTGGCCGTGCTTGGGGAGGAAGGGGTGGACGGAGGGGGTGGAGGGATGGAGGGAGGGGAAGGGAGGAGGGAAGTGGCGGAGACAGGGCGGCGACAGATGCGAGTCTACGCCAGGGGGGAGGTAGGGATGGAGGTGCATGCTTGGGGTCGACACGAAAATGGGAGTCCCGTGGAGGGGTTGGAGGGGCGGGCCTTGGCATGGGCCACGGACGGGAGTTTGGTGGCGGCTGTGCAGAGGAAGGGGGGAGGGAAAGGGGGTAGGGGAGGGGGGGAGGAGGAAGCACGGCAGGTGGTATTTTTTGAGCGGAACGGATTACGGCACCGAGAGTTCGGGTTGAGACCGACGGGAAGGAGGGAAGGAAGGGAGGGCGGGGGGGAGGGCGGGGGGGAGGACCAGGTAGCATGTTTGTCTTGGAACGCAGACACCACCCTCTTGGCCGTGGGATTGGTCGGTACCAAATCCTGCCCTGCCTGTGTACAGCTCTGGCACCGCGAAAACTACCACTGGTATCTGAAGCAGGAGGTACGACTCGGCTCGGGTGCCCCTCCTCAGGTCCGGATCGCCGGCCTCCACTTTGACGCCGAAGCCCCCACCCGCCTGCACATTCTTTCCCTCTGCGATGACCCTTGCCACGCCCACGTGGCATGGCGGTGGCTGGACCTGGGTTGGGGCGTGGGCGTTTCCGAACAGGCGCCTCGGCAGCTTGTGGCCGCGACGGACGGAGACGAGGTGCTTCTGACGGCCTTGGGGGCCGCTCCCGTTCCCCCCCCTGCTTGCGGGCAACGGGTACGGGTAGGGGACGGGGAAGGCGGGGTGGTGACGGCCGTGGCGTTCACGAGTCGGCGGGTGCGGCCAATGAAGTACGTGCCGTACAAAACGGAAGGAGGGGAAGGAAGAGGGGCGGGGGAGGTGGTGCCACCGGAACCGGCATCGGCAGGGAAAGCTTCAAAAGGGGAAGGAGAGGGACGCAGGAGGGGAGAGAGGAAGTCGTACATGGCCTGCGTACTTTCCACGGGGCTCGTGCACGTCTTTCAAGAGGGGCAAGGGGCACTTTTTGGGGACAAGGTACGCCGAAACGGGTCCGCCCGCCCTCCTCCCTCCCTCCCTTCTCCCCTCCCTCCTTCCCTTCGTTCTGCCTCCTTTTTTCTCGCGTTGTTTCTTTCTTGCCGGCCTCATTCCTGCCTTCTCTGTCGTGCATGCACAGCCTCATGAGGAGCACTGGCTCGTGGACCCTGTGTGCAGTTTTCACGAACCCGCTCTCTCAGATACCCGGCAGCTGGTTTTACTTCGGACTGCCCCTGAATTAGGACCGGAGGGAGGAGAGGAAGAAACACCGGAGGAATTTTCTCTGTTGACAGTGCGGTGGGACGAGGAGCGGCAGAGCGACGTATTGGTGGAGGTGACGTTTGCAATCCCTTCCTCGGCCATCCCAAGCCTTTCGTCCTCCCGTTCCCCTTCCTCGACGATTGTCATCACCAGTCTCGATGAGGCGGGAGTGGCGCCCGATGAAGAAAATATAGGAGCACGTGAAGACGTCAGCACAAGTGCGCAGAGGTCAGGGCATCCTTTGGATTCCTCACGAATTTTGCGGTTGCAGGCATGGGGAGGTTGGGAGGGGAATGCTGCTTTGATCGAAACGCACGAGGGAGCCATTTACAAATACACGCGAAGACGAGGATTAAAGAAAGGAGGAAAGGAAACTCATCGGTCGATCACATGGATCATGGACATGTTGGAGCCGTGCCCGTGGGTGGGTGTGGTAAATGTGGGAGGGAAGAAGGAGGGAGGAGGGGGAGGGGAGGTTGGGTGGGGGGAGGTGGTGGGACTCTCCACGCGTGCACGTCTCTATTACGGAGAGCACCTTTTGTGCAATGCGGTGGCTTCCGTGACAGTTAATCCTGCGTTTGGTATGCTCATGTACGTCACTTTGGGCTCCCAACCGACTTTACGGTTTGTGACCTTTCGGAGCCTTGCCGGCCTTGACGTGATGGGAGGGAGCGAGGGGGGGGTAGTGGAATGCCCCACGGAGGGCCGACCGGTGGAACGAGGGTCCCGCCTGATTATGTCCTCCTTCACGTCTTCCACCGTGCTTCTGCAACTCCCTCGCGGCAACCTGGAAGTGGCCGCGCCCCATCCTTTGGTCTTGCATCAAGCTGCCCGTCTCCTGGAGGTGGGGAGGTACGGGCAGGCTTTCTCACTCCTTCGGCGGCATCGTTTGGACTTGAATTTTATGATCGATTTCGCCCCTCGGAATTTTTTGGAGGAGGTGGAACGGTTGGTAGTGCCTCAATTTGGGAAGCTGGAGGATTTGAACGTCTTTGTCTCGGCTGTGCGGGACGGAGATTGTGTTGGGGGAGGTAGAGGAGGGAGGAGGGAGGAGGGGAGGGCCTGGTGGTGCATTCGGACTCACGTCGAGGAGGAGGAGGAGGAAGAAGAGGTTGCGGAGGAGGTGAAGGAGTGGTTCCCGGCGGGAAAGAGGAATCGGGTTTGTGAAAAGGTGCGAGAAGTGTTGTTGGGACGCATGGCGGTGGCGAGGTTGGGGGAGGGGAAGGGAGGAAGGGATGGAGAGAAAAAGGGAGGGCATGGTGGGAAGGCGCAAGCTGACGTGCGTGTAATGGAATGTGTGTTGACCACGCTGGCCCATCAGGTTCCTCCTCGCTTTGAGGAAGCCTTGACCTTCCTGCGGGAGGGAGCGAGGGAGGGCGAGAGGGAGGGCAGGAGGGAGGTTGAGAAGGAAGGAAGGGGGCCGCAAGGGCAAGACCGCGTCAATTACCACTTGAAGGGAGAAGTGGCCAGCCGGTTGTTAAGGTTCCTCTCGTTTTTCACAGACATGGACACCTTGTACCGGGTGGCGTTGGGTATGTATGACGTCACCTTGGCCCGAGCCGTTGCACGCCTGTCGCCGAAAATGGACCCGAGAGAGTACTTGCCCTTTCTGGAAGACGCGGAGAAATTGATGTGGAAGGAAGAGGGGGGGGAGGGCAAGGGATGGAAGGGGAAGGTGACGATCGATTTGTTCTTGTCGCGTCCCCTGAGGGCCTTGGAGGTGATGGCATGGGAAGGAGGGGGGGAGGTGGAGGAGGAAGTGGTGGTGGATTTGGTGCAAACCCACGGGTTGGAGGAAGCAGCGGTGCCTTTGTTCGATCAGGAACGTTTCCCGTCCTTGCATGGGAGGTTGTTGGGTTTATGGGCCGCGAGGTTGATGGCAGAGAAGGCGTACGGGAAGGCTTTGGCCGTATGGGTGGCGAGGGCAGGGAAGAAAAAGGCGGGGAGGAAGGGGGGAAGGGAGGGGCCGGGGGAGGGAGGGAGGGAGAGGAGGGAAAGCTTGTTGAAGGCGGCAGAATGCGCGCGTCTGTCAGAGGATTGGCGGATGGCCCTGCTCCTGGTGGGAGAGGTGGAGAAGGAGGAGGGAAGGGAGGGAGGGAGGACAGGGTCTTCGTCCTTGGTGGAGCACTGGGCTCGGGAGATGGTTGGGAACCTGGTAGGCGGGGTCGGGGGAGGGAGAGAAGAGAAGGTACGCTTGCAGGAAGGGGCGAGGATTTGTTGGGAATACCTGAGGGATGTGGAAGGGGCAGTGGATGCCTTAACTCGGGCAGGGGAATGGCAGGAAGCAATGCGCGTGGCAAGGAAGGGCGGGAGGGAGGATTTGGTGGAGACAGACATCTGCATGGGCGTGAAGGAGGCCGTGGTGGGGCTCCAGTCCTGGGTGGAGGGAGGGCGAGCCCGATGGAAGGAAGGAAGGAGGAGGTTGGAGGAGATGGTAGGGCGGGTGGTGCGGGAGGACGAAGAGAAGGAAGCCGCGGAGGTGGCACGACGGGGGCGGGGGAGGGAGGGAGGGGGGGGGGAGGAAGCGGAGAGCGTCTTTTCCGCCCAAACGGGGGACTCGAGGATGAGTTTGGTCACGGACGCGTCCTTCCGTTCGGGCACGTCCTCGCACGCCTCGAGCCATTCGCGGTTGACGTGGACGGTTCCGGGGGGGGAAGGAAGCGTGGTGAGCAGCAGTGGGAGCAACAGCAGCTTGGGTCTGGGGCTCTTGTCCCTGCAGGGACGGAAGGGGGATGGGGACGCCGGAAGCCGGCAGCGACCTGGGGCGGTGGCGCCTCCGTTTCGGGAGAAGAAGAAGGCGAAACGGAAAATCAAATTGACCGCGCGAGAGGAGGAGGCGAGGCTTCGGCGGGAATTGGAGGGGTTGAGCGCGGGGAGGAAAGTCTGGGAGGAGGTGGAGAAGCTTCTGGAGGCCTTGCTCCTGTTCGGCGAAACGAAGATGGCACGGGGCTTGCTTGGAGCTTTGCAGGAGCTGGTTAAGGAATGTGCAACCTTGCCGCTCCCAGCGCCTCCGACGCAAAAGCCCGAGGAGAAGGGAGAGGGGGGGAGGAGGAAGGAGGAAAGGGAGGCGGGGGAAGGGGACAGGGAAAGGCAGGAAGAAGAGGGGGAGGTCATGGCCGAGTTTGAAAAAGTTTTCGCGCCATATTTATTTTTGTCGTGAGCCCTGCCAGATCTCTTTACCCGCATGGGGGCAGGGAGGACGGGGGAGGGCAGGGGGAGGGAAAGGGGGAGCAAAAGCACGTCCGAATAGGGGATGCTGAAGATGTTTGCATTAAAAGGAACATTTTTTAAAAGTACCCAAACAAAACACTTCCGTGTTGCCCTGGGTCGGACTCAGACAGCCATGTGAATTTTAAATTTTCGAATTCCCGTTTCGGTAATTTTTCCCCTCCACCAAGCCACGCTCCCGGCCGAATCTGCGGCTGTTCAGGACCCTCTTTTCCACCCCATCTCCCTCTTCCTCTCCTTCCTTTGCCCTCTCCAGCATCCATCCCCACCCCTTTCATTTGTCGCAGAGCACCAATAACCCTTTCGGACGCTAAGCCACCCCTCCTTCCCTCCCTCCTTCCCTCCCTCCCTCCCTCCCTCCCTAGCAACCCCGTCCCAGCTGCTCACACAAGTCCTGCCTACGTTGCTTCGCATCTTTCTTCAGCATCCGCTGCTTCTCCCTCTCCCTCTTCAATGAATCTCCGTAATTCTTCTCGTCCCCGCCCCCTTTTGCGGCATTCTCCATGATCAGGGCCTCCTGTTGTCGTTTCAATTTGGCCTTGACCCTTGCTGCTTCTTTTTCCGCCGGTGTGGGAGCCGACAGATCTTGCAGGTCCGTGGCGTCGGCCGCCTGCGCCGACCAGGAGGAAGTTGTGGTGATGGAAGTGGAAGAAGGGGAGGAGGGAGGGAAGGAGGTAGGGGCAAGAAAGAAGGCGGCGACGCTTGTGAGGAGACCGAACGTGCGGCGCAGGACGAAAGAGGGGGGATTGCGATGGGTCGAGGGAGGAGACGAGGAGGAGGAACGGGGAGAGGAGGAGGACGACGACGACGAGGTGAGAGCGGTACAGCACCTGGAAGGAACCAGAGAGGAGGGAGTTGATTTGTTGCAAATAAAAGATATGATATTACATGAACTGGTTCACACAAGAAAGGAAAAATCATATATATGAGCTCATTTGCTTCGTAGTGGCATCAAAGGCTGGGTGCAAGGGCCACACGATAGGTGGAGGGTGGAGAGAGGGCACACGTTGAAGTTGTAGAAGGCAGAGATCAGGTTCACTCGAGCAGGGCTTGGCCTTCAATAGGGAAAAAAGAAGACTCAAATGCAACACATGCTTATGAAATTATGAGGGGCTTCAAAGTCTCCATAGCTGCGCATTTTCTCACCGCAGGTTTTGACAAGAGCTACACTTCCTCATACGAATCGACTACATTCTGAGGACGAACGAATCGACCACAAAGTGACCCCAAACACAATATGTGAAAGAAAAAAACGCACCTTTGCATTGAAACGCCACCAACATGGATTTGTGTGGGCTTTGGACACCGCACAAAGGCCGGAACTTGACCCAAGAGCAGTATACAAGAGAGGAAAACCACCCACGTCACGGAGGTCTGATGATGCTGCATGTCTGGAGGAAAACTAACCCCACAATGTGACAACCTGTCCAGAAATCCGAGAAAAAAATGAAAAAGGTAAGCCACGTTATTATGCTATTAAGCTTAATGTCTTGCAAAACTAAAATTTAAAGTACAAAATACCATTGGGAAAGAGAGTCGCATCGTGAGCATCGGGTTTCGACACCCCACCCAAGCAAACAAAACACCTTTTATGACCTCCACGTGACATGGACGGTACCCTGCGGAAAGACTCGCACCGATCATCCCGCAGACTTCGATACACGGCTTGGCTACCCGCGTCGTCTTGTTCCCTTTTTGTGTTCCTCTGTCCTTCTGTCCCATCATGGGCGAGGAGCAAGGCGCCTTCTCCTCCTTGTGGACCGAGCAAGGGAGAAAGCGCTTGTCTCGATGACCTCCATCCTTCCAATCCAAAACTCACGCCCCGGTGGCTCTCTGCCTCGTTGACACAGGTACCCACCACTTGCACACGTACGGATTATTTGACCACGTGTGTGTGCTAGTATAGGGGCTAGAGGACAGGAAGATGGCGCCGCTTCCTTCGAGCCTTCGACAGCCCCCTCCCTCTGCAAGGAGTGACAGTGTATCGACACTCACCCCACGCGGGCAAGCGCCCAATACCAACGGGCCAACCATCTTGAACCCTTCCACATCACATTTGTCGCGGGCTTCACCGCTCAAGCCGTGGGAGCAATCTGCACGGCGGGTAATGACTGCCAATACTGCTGGCCACGCAGGAGGAAACGAACGACCACAAGGGAATGGGCTCTCGCACACGCCTCGAGAAGCTGTCAATTATCGGACCACAAACCCCAACCCGGCCCGAAACGTGGGCAGTATCAGCCACACAACGGGAAACAGTAGCACCCGGGGCGTGGCCGGAGGTGCCAAGGGACAGGGGAACGGAGAGGAGGACCAAGACAGGTCGAGTGCACAGCTCTCTGAGCTCGGCCATCCCCAGGATGCTCCCGCACAAGCTGCCTCCTCGGCACCGTACGCCAACCACGCGGCAAACGGAGGTCCGTACGCCCCTCCCACGTCTCGATATGGCCAGCTGGGTACTAGTAGCAACGGCATGTATGGGTATCCGGGCAGCACCTATGGGGGGGCCGGGGCGTATGGAAGGTACAACTCAGGCTCCATGTACGGATCCTCTTCCCTTTATGGAAGCGGGTACGGTGCGGGTAGCATGTATGGCACGCCTTCGATGTACGGGGGGATGGGCGGGATGTATGGGGGAGGGTATGGCTACGGGGGGGCGGGGGGGTATGTACGGCAGCATGCACGGTGGAGGCATGGGAGGGGAGGGGAGCATCGGATGGCTGCAGAACGTTTTCTATTTGGTGTCGTCCTTGGGGCAGATGACAGAGTTGCTGGGGATGAACACGGAGGCGCTCGGGTATTTGTTTGGGACTCTGATGGGCTTCGCCGAAACGGCGGGTAACGTCCTGGGTCAGCTGACAGCGAGGCCGGCCCGGTTGTTGGAAGCAGGGCAGGAAGGGGTCACGGAGGAGGAGGCAGCGGTCCGGGCGAAGCAGGAGAAGATCGTCCGGGTGGTGCGATGGGCCGTGGGCTTGGCGTTGTCGTACTTGGCCTGGCGGGTGCTGAGGAAAGTAGGCCGGTGGGTCAAGGCGGGAGACACACGGAGGGACGTGGCGCTGGCGGCGGCGGCGGGGGCGATGGTTGGGGCGGGGGGGCGAGGGGGTCGAGGACAGCTGCAGCCTTACCTTCCTCCGTCCCCGCCGCCGCAGGCATGGTCGGCGCGGCGGCCGATGCCGGGGGAAGGGGGAGAGAGAAGGTGGGGAGGGGGGGGCAGGGGAGAAGAACATGTAGAAGGCTTACCGAATGCGGCCTTAGAGCAGGCGTTCCACTCGTCTTCCGGGGGAGGGGTAAGGCCAGGGGAGATTTGAACAAGGCCGGTGATGGGAGAGGACACAAGGGCTTGTGATGGTAGGATTGTAATATAGAAGAGGAGGCAGAGCACGGAGGGAACGAAGGGAGGGAAACGATCCGGGGGAAGAAAAGGCTTGCGGTGGGTCTCGTTGGACGCGCCATTGCCTCGTCATCAAGGAGATTTGGTCTGGCTTGACGCGCTTGGGATGGTGGTGGTTCGATTCCTTTCGTCCTTGTTCGTGATTTTCTTTTCCCCCGGGCGACGAGCTTTACCGCCTCTTTTCCTTCCCTCCTGCCATGTGTATATATCCACTGTTAATCCACTGGCTCCCCTCCCCCTCGCTCGTGTGACACCAGCTAAGTACTTATACCTCTCACAAAGCATATATATGTATATATATATTAAATTGAGCCATAACTACATGGATATACAAAGCATAAATATAAATGTATACATCTGCTTCATGCTCCAGGTCCTTGGTCCCATAGAAAACGTCTTCGGCTCGGCCGAAGGATCCCCCCTGCCCTTCCCCGATGGACGTCGTTTTACCCCTCCACCCTCTTTCCCTTCCACACACACACACAAGCCTACACGTCCGAGCAGATCGACTGTCCTCCCTCCCTCCCCCCTCCCTCTCCCCCCCCCCTTCCCCTACCCCCCCCCAAAAAGGACATACATACGTGCGGATCCTTCCCTCGGGACCTCCAGTCTGAGTCATACCCCTGGCCTCTCCCTCAGGTAGTCAAAGAAAACTCGCTCCAAAGCCCGCAGATCCTGTCAGTGCATGTGATAGTATATATTCACATATCTTAAATATGGGGCCGTAGTTACGAGACCAATGGCGTACGGGAGGAAGCAAGATGATTGATTCATCCCCCAATAGGGATGCTACGAGCCTCCAAGCGGATTCGCTGTCGCACTACCCGTCCCATCGCAGCTTCCCATGAACGATCCTTCCAGTCCCGTACCTTCCTCTCCCCCCCCCGTTCCCCCTTAAGGTGCCATAAACCTCCCGCCTTAATGAACTCTCTGCCCTTCCTCTTCCTCCCCTCCCTCCCACCCTGACCTGAATGAATGTCTTCATGCTCTTGGCGAATACGGCCGTTCCACATGCATCTTCCGCCAGGGCGGTCCGAAACTCCGCCTCCGTCATCGGGACCCCGCCCTCCCTCCCTCCCTCCCTCCCTCCCCCCCCTTTTCCCTCCATTCCCAACAGCCGCCGGGATTTCAGGCTGAGGTCCCCAGGGCTCGGCGCGGGCGGGAGGAAGGAAGCAAGACCTTCCTCCTCCTCCAAGACAGGTTCGGCGCACTCCAAGGCAATCATCACCTGCGGACTGACCGTCAAAATGTCGCAGCCGCTCAACTGTTTGACTTGCTCGATGCCCCGCAGGCTCGCCGCCATCACGAGCGTCCCCGCCCATCTCCTCATTTTGAACAAGACTTGGATGTCCCGGGCCAAGGTCACGCCCCTCTCCTCTGCACCCTCTTCCTCCTTGTCCTCCTCCCTTCCCTCCCAATCACTCACCCTCCCCACGTAGGGTGCCACGTAGCTGGCCCCCGCCTCGGCGGCGGCATAAGCCTGCACAATGGACGTCACGCCAGTGACGAGACACCTCACCCCTCCCTCCTTCCCGCCCTCCCCCTCCCCCCCTCTCCAGCACCTTGGCGGCCTGAATCCCTTCCCAAGATCCGGGTATCTTGATCACCAGGTTGGACAACGGGAGTTGATGCTTGTGGACGCACAAGTCGACAAGGGCTAGGGACTGACGCACGGCGAGGTCGATGTCGAAAGCATAACGAGGATCCAGCTGCACGTACACTCGGGGGAGAGGAAGGGAGGAGGAGGAGGGAGCATGCGGGAGCCGTTTCCAAATTTCGCGAGCAAATTTGGGCGGGACGGCTTCTAACATGTCAGGGATGCCATCGATGCCCAAGGGGAGGTACATCTGTTTGAGGGAGAGGCACCAGGTGGAGGGGAAAAGTAAATCCATTCAGTGGCAGGAGTCCGCAGTCATTCAAGCAGGCTCGCGTGCTGGCTTTTGCATGGACCTGACGGCTCGAGCATATTATTATATTATTATATGCTGTTGCATAGGTAGATAGCACGAAGAATGGCTCGAGCCGACACCGTTGAAAAGAAGTCCGGGTTTCATGTTCTAACCTTTCTCACGTACATTGCAGGCTTCTTCCAACAGATGGAAGTATTCTTCTTTCTGGGCGGCTTGCCAGACGATAGAAGGGTTGGTCGTCACCTCCAGGGTACCCGGAAGATGTGCCAATTGCAAGTAGTCTGCTGTGTCGAGGATGACTTGAGAATGGCAACGGACTTGCGCAAGAAGATTAGAAGGGGTGCGGGAAGAGGAGGTGGCCTTCATGTACATCTTCGAGGCAGGGGAAAAGTAGCGGGTTGTGCGGGCAGGCGGCGGGCCTCCGTGGGAGGGAGAGGGGAAAAACGCACGGGGCCAGGAAAAGGAGGAGGATGGGGATGTCGCCAAGAGAAAGGAGGCTTTTCTCAAAAATCGTTTCAGTTTGGCCATTTCGTGATCAGAATTAAAGGACGTGGCACTCCCTGCGACCAATTTACGGGGGAGAGGACAGGACGGGAAAGGGAAGTGGAGAGGGAGGTTGCCGTGTATCCCAAGGTGTTCATGCCGACAAAAAGGCAGGTACTCCGACCCTTGTACGTGATCAATCTTTTCATAAAAAGTATCATTTAAAAAAATGTCAGGCTTCACTTCAATGAGGGGCAGATTATGCGATTGTTTTGATAAACGGCTCTAGCCTGTGAGGCGTCTCATAAACTTCAGTTCCGGCGATGCCCCCCCTCCATTGTTAGCATCCGAATGGAGGATGTACGCATAAGTTCGTGCATTAAAATAATCAGCTTATTGGGCTTCACTGACTATATCTCAAACTGTATCTTGTCATTCAACATGAGGTTTCATTTTTTCTTTTTGCAAGTATACTTTTGCGATGATGCTGAGATGGGATGTTCACTCATCATCGGGGGAAGGGGCAGAAGAAAAGCCCACCAAAAAAATGCCGCTTTAATGCGAGGAAAGCACTCACGTGAGGGATGTATGTGAGGCTATGAAAATGGTAGAGGCAGGCTTAGTTGGATTTTTGGGGCCTCGAAAAAAAATGTCATCTTCTCCTCATGCTTTTTCATCCGACTTTATTAAGGATGAGTCGCGAATGCTAACCAGGCACGAGGCTGCGACAACTTCTTGGAAACCATTTTGTGGGTGTGTGGGAAGGCAGGGTAGCTGCATTCCTGTTGTTAGTGTTTTTATTCCCACCAGGTCTTGATCTAGAAATTTTATCATTTTTGGGGGGGACGAAGAGCCTGACATAGGTTTTCAGAACGCAGTGCGTGTTCCGTCATATCCTATTCGAACGTTGGCGGGGTCGATGGGATGTATCGGATCTTTCTTTTCCACCTCGCAACCCGTCACAGTGTCCCCACAAAGGCTGCAAACATCGTTAGGAGTTAGTAAAGTGACATTGCATGCATTTGGATTAATTTTGGGCGTCCCTGTCCCTCTTTCTTTCCTAAGCCCTAGATTGCTTGCATCGTCGGCCATCCATCTGACTAGATTAGATCCACTTTTCTAAAAAATCACGAAACGCGCAAGACGTGTTTTTTAAAGCCTGTACACGTAAATTACATGAATCTCGGCGCAATGGCTTCTCTTTTTCTCTTCACGCCTCGATTCAGGACAGACAATTTTTCTTTTGTTCTTCGTTTTCCTACTCTGATGACACTGAGAATCTCATAAAGTTTTCCATTTTCCAACATTTTGAAGGAAACAAACTACCCACCACTACCAACAACACCATGCCGACAATCCTTTTGGGAATGGGGAACCCTCTCCTCGACATCTCCGCGGAAGTGCCGCAGGAGGTGCTGGATAAATATGAGCTCAAGGTAAGGTAGAACGCTATATCCCTTGCAGACGCATAAGAGCCCTTTTCGCGCGCCATTTGTTCCGACGCACGCCTTAGTATACCCCAGGCATCTTCATCCGCTTCCCTGTGTCTTTTCCTTTCTTTTTTTCTTCCTTTCCCAGTTGGACTCGGCCATCTTGGCGGAGGAGAAGCACCTGCCCCTCTATAAGGAATTGGTCGACGCCTACAAGGTGCAATACATCGCAGGAGGCGCCACCCAGAACGCCATCCGTGTGGCCCAATGGATGTCGCAGACACCTGGGGTAAGTGGGTGTTTGACAGAGCTTGCATGGGCGACAGCCCTCTCCTGACGTTGTAGATTTCCTTCCTTTTCCTGCCCCCCCTCCCTCCCTCCTGCCCTCCCCCCCTCCCTTTAGTCCACCAGCTTTTTTGGATGCATCGGAAAAGACGATTTCGGGGCGGAACTTCAAAATTGCGCGAAGGCCGACGGGGTCAATGCCTTCTATAAGGAAGATCCCGAGACCCCGACAGGCACCTGCGCGGTGCTGGTGAAAGATGGAGAGCGGTCTCTCTGTGCGAATTTGGCTGCCGCCAACAAATTCACCGCGGACCACCTGGCCTCCGTGAAGGCCAAGGAGATGATCGCGGAGGCCAAGATGTTTTACATCGCCTCCTTTTTTCTGACCGTCTCGGTCGAGTCTTTGCTGGTGGTGGCCGACCATGCCGTGGAGCACAACAAGGTCAGAGGAGGGTGCCGGTGCCGGACTCTCTGGGGGTGGGAGCACGGTCGTTGTATAGATCGAAAAAGCTGTGTCGTGCGTTTGGAAGCCCGGCGTGTCTTTAGCCTGGCCGTGTAACCTTGACGCGCGTCGGCATGGGGTTGTGCGGGGGGGGGGATGGTAACCGTCGGGGGCCGATAATTACCGAAGGACATAGCCTGAGTCCCCCCCTTCGCAAGCCCCAGGAAACCCATCGATGTATCGATTCACCAAGGACCTTATGACCCGCGCACCGACGCCTCTCTTACTCCCTCCTGTTCCCCCCCACATACCCACTCCATTCCCTTGCTGGGTCTCAGATTTTTGCCATGAATTTATCCGCGCCTTTTTTGATCCAATTTTTCGCGGAGCCCATGGCCCAAGCCCTGCCCTACACCGACTACGTGTTTGGGAACGAATCGGAGGCCACGGCCTACGGTGAATTGCAAGGGTGGGGCACCGACATCCCGACCATTGCCCTGCGCCTGGCGGCGGCGCCGAAAAAGAGCGGGACACGCCCTCGGGTGGTAGTGTTCACCCAAGGGAGCGAGGCGACCGTGGTCGCCAAGGAGGGGAAGGTGGAGAAATTTCCGGTGGAAATGTTGGAAAAGGACAAGTTGGTGGATACGAACGGGGCGGGAGATGCCTTTGTGGGTGGTTTCCTTTCCGTCTTGATGCGGAAGGAGGGGGCGGCGATGGAGGAATGCGTCCGGGCGGGGCACTGGGCAAGTCGGGTCATCATCCAGCGGAGTGGGTGCACGTTCCCGAAGGAGTGTGACTACAAATAGAAAAGGAGGGGAAAGGGAGGGAGGGAGGAGGGGAGGGAGGGAGGGAGGGAGGGTCTCGAGAGGCAGGAAAAGACTAGGTAATACCGAGCAAAACATCACGTTTCATTGCTGCGGGTGATCCACCGTTCCACTTCAACCCAATTGAAGCAGCCTGGATTCATGCTCGTGGCTGCGGCGGTATCTTGTTTTTGTTTCTTGGTTTCTTTTCCCTAAAATTTCCATCCTCTTGTCTTTTTTTAGAAAAAACAGTTCGCATACATTTTCTTTCCCCTCCTCCCTCCTGCCCCCCCCTCCCCATCCCTCCCGCTTCCCTCGTGATCTCTTCCTTCCTGGCCTCCACCACCCCTCCGACGCCTCCGTCCGTCCTGTATTTTTCACTCTTGCATTCCATCGCACAATAGCCTTTCTCTCTCCCTCCCTCCCTCCCTCCCTCCCTCCCTCCCTCA